TACAAAAAAAGTATACAACAGCATGAAAATACATATTTACGTTTGTAATGATTTAGTAAGAGAAAATTAATGCTCCTCCTTTGGCGTCAATGCCACTTAAATTTTAATTTCTTTTCCTTGATTTACATCTAACAAACATATACACTTCTGCTGTGTTTGGTATAACGGTGATAACTCGAGAAAAATGTTGCTTTCGGAAACTTTAGGAAAAAGTTGCTTGCATTTTCGATGGATGAAAATTGCTTCTGAATCTATTATTGGTACAGCTTTGAAAATGTTCAAATCAAAAAAATCAAAATCAAAACCGATTGCATGTACGACATTTTGTTACTTACAGTAGCATAGCTTTTTTTTTATAAGCTGATGCTTTGAAATTTTCCGGACTTTGTAGGACAAAAGTGAAAGGATTCGTTTGCCAGCAGGACGGGGATCCAAAGAATTCTGAACGTATTCTCGGACGTATGAAAATCGCAATTAAAGATAAGGGAGTCTCCACAATCCGGTTGGTATCAACCTTCAAAAATCTCAAAACAGAACAGTTCGAAACTAAGTGAATAGAGCTGCCCCACGTTTTTGCTGTGAATCGCTTGTTTCTTGTTAAAGCTTGGCTTTTCTGTATACTAGGCTTTATTCCTTGGATAATAAGGACCAATTGCTGAAAATTTCAAAGCAATCCGCTTATGCTACTGTAAGTAATAAAATGTCGTACATGCGCTCGGTTTTGATCGCCAGTGCAAACTGAACAAAAAAGCTAACAATTATAGACAATTTTTTGCTAATCAATTTTAGGAGCAATTTTTGATTTCGTTTAGGCTTGTCTGGCATTTTATCTGTTAAATTTTCAATAGAACATTTTTTTTTTTGAATTATTGATAAAAAAAGTTAAACACTCATGCAGATAGATAGATCCCAGTCGACACAGGCTAGGCCTTTGCTACAAGACATTTGGAGGTTGTATTAGACAAATTTCCAATAGATCTGCGTCTCCGAGGCATACGAGGTGTGTTTCTAAAGCAACCGAAGTTAAATAAAAGAACAAATGTAGTAAGCGTGTCGCTGCTTGTCTGGAGCAAAGTAAAATCTGCGTTGCTACCTTTTTTATGTAAAATTCCCGCTTCTAACAGAAGCTGAATCAGAAGGCCAGATAGTAATTTCGTAATTAAAAAAAAAACGACTTCAATGCTCATATATATTAGGATTACCGTTAGTTTCTTCATGATCCAATGACCCCGAACTACTAGAGATGGGTGCGGGATTAAGTATTCAACACCGGTCCAGTTTTTCAGAATTATACCGTGTAAAATTCGCATTGCTTTCGAGTTATTTTAAATGAAAGTTATACTTAATTTCTTTTTCTCGAATATTCCACTTTCGTCACACTGAAAAATCTGGCATCAACCAACTATTCCGTTTTCCTTTGTTGTTAGTTTTCATCGCAATAAAACATAAAAAGTGGTTGCCGTGCGAGGCCACCTTTCTGCTAAAAAAAAATAATTATCGAAAGCGGTTCACGTGGTTCACAGTTATCAGGTAACATACATAAAAAAAGAACAAAAAAATATTCGGACGAATTGCAAACCTCCTTTTTTTGAAGTCGATTAAAAATAGATTTTAATTTCCGAAAATCGTTATTTGATATTTCTTCATTATAGATTATTATTATTTCGCACAAATTCGTTAAAACTGTAAAAAGACAACAATCGATTGGTTTGAAATTACTTTCAGCAAAAATGGAAGTTGCTAGTGTAGTGCAAGCAAATTAAAATTCATTTTCGAAAGTGATTTGATTTCAGAAAATAACAAAAGTATTGTTCGGGTGCTCCCACTCCCAATGCATTGAAAAAGTACTTGCATTGCCACGTCTGACTGCACTTTCATATACAAGTACCCAAGTATACATATTTTTGATTATATCGCGTTAGGTTTTAATTTGTAACTCAATAGCATCTAAGGCTGTGTGCATAAATGAATTTTCGAGCAAATTTTTTCACTGGGTATTCCCTTAAACTGGAAATAGTATGAAAACCCGCGCAAGGTCTCGAAAATTTGTGCTATTTTGTTGTTTTTTTTTTTTACCCCCTCCGTTTTCGTTTGATATCAGGTTTCACTATTCAAAAATAGAACCTAAAATTATTGCGACTTGCTTTTCAATTGTAGACTGTTTAAATTGATGATTTCTTTTTGTTATTACAATACTTGATGAAAAAGTCTTTATCATTCGGAAAAGAGCAGAAAACTGAACTAAGAGCATTACATAAGATAAAATTGACTTGCGCTTTTTATTGCTTCGAAAATTCATATGTAAAACGTATGTAACTAAATTTATTTGTAAAAAAAAAAAAATAAAGATATCAATTATATTGTATGGAGATATTAAAATTTTATAACCTTTGTTATGTAATTAAAAAAATCTTATTTAGTAATTAAAAATATCTTATCCTACATACATATCGCACACCTAGATCTATAGTGAGCTAACTCAAAAATCCGAGCGGGGGAAATATAACTGCTTGTGGATCGTACAGATTCAACGAATTGATTCATGCAGAAAAATCGTCCTAAGTATTTTTTTTTTTTTGAGTTGATCGCACTTTGTAGATCTACATAGGTGTGCGATATGTACGCATAATATGTAGTGACATTATAAGTAAATATGTATGCTTATTCCATTTGTGTTATGTTCTTTTAGTCGTTAGTTTAAAGAAATACAAAATAAAATGTTTTGGTATGGTATTGAAAAAAAAAACAAAAAAAAAAAAACAACTGCCAAGCATCCACTCACATTTTACAATAGTTGAAGCATCATTAGGCACAAAATATACACACACATACGTACATACATATGTACACATAAGCACTCTCACACGGTTTATAAATAGCAGCTGTTTTTAACTTTGTATTTTCTGTTTTATTTTTTCCAAAATTAAAATATTTACTGATTTTTTCTTTGAACAAAAAACCAAATTCGTTTGAACTGAGCAAAGCTTGAAAATGTAAGTTTATATATAAAAAAGCGAACTACAACAAATTGGCAAGTGCACTTATTGAAACGCATTTAAACAATACAAAATAAATGCAGAAAAGCAAAAAACACAAAAAAAAAATATGATAAAAATATTAAAAATATATACTATATACAACAAAATACAGCTAGATATATGTAAGTGAAGTAATATTAGCAAACAAATTAATCTAACAAATTTAGTAAAGTTATATGCAAATTAAATATTAAAATTAGTAGCAAAAAGTCAAACCGCCAACTTGTAAACAGTTTATTACATTTTTCTATAAACAAAATAAAATAAATGATACCGGCGTGCAGCAGTACACGTTGCGAAAAAGGCAAAACGAAATTACTAAATTCAAATAAACAAATAAAATGAAATTAAAAAAAATAAAATATCACCAAAAAAATGAAATGAATGTGAAAATGTGGACCCGCATAAATGTTTGATGGAAATGCAAAGTATGATATAGTAAATTTAATATAAAAAAAAAAAAATTACTAAAGTTAAACAACAAAAAAAAAATTAAAATGTAATGAGGAATTAGTTTAAAATTAATAACACAATGGAATTAAAATATTATAAAAAATAACATGTATGACAACAGAAATATTAATAAATATATTTAATATGAATAACTCAATGAATTAGATGTTGTTGTTTCTATTAAATGTTATGTTAAAATATGAGATAAGTTTTTTGCAATTGCGATCCAGGAAAAAGCGGATTGTGGCACGACGAACGTACATTTGGGGACACAGAGTGTTGTTTAGAGGAGTCTTTGATTTTGGCCCCATAATGATAAACTGGTACTTGGCGTCTTATTTGGAAGAAAGCACATCGTTACTAAAAATATATCCAGAAACTCGCTTACAACTAGAACTCGGTAAAAATATTCTAGACCGACGGCGCGCAAGACGTCAAACTGGAGAAATCTCAGGTAATCAAGAATAAGATTGATGTTGTGGTTGTTGTAGCGGCTGGTTAATTCTGAGGATTTTTGAAATTTTCTTCCATACAAAGTATGATCGACAATTTTTTTTTTGTAATGGAAGAAAATGATAAACCATCCGTAGAAAAGATTATCAAAAATCAACGCGAATTCTTAGCCACTTGAAACTTGCAGTTTATTGAGCGGGAGTTCAATGAAAAGTTTGTTGTTGTTGTAAAGCACATACATATATGGTTTTTGTTAGATAATGTATTTTTATAAAAAATTATAAAAAAATAAGCAAGCAAATTAAAAATAGCGACAACTTTTCAAAATGTTACGTCCCTATTATTTTTCACATGACTGTATATTGGGTACGTCGGGGTTTATTCCGGATAAGTAAGAGTTTAACCAAATACAGTATCCACACCGCAATTGAGTCTCTGTGGCTGGGACGGGAATTGGCGAAGGTGGTGACAGTTTCCGCGTGAATGTCGTTTATTGCCTCTCTGTAGAGTGGTCCAAAAAAATTTTTTTCCGAGAAGCGGTTGTAGAGAGAAGAAACCTTTAAGTAACCTCTTTTAATATTGCAAATATACCTACTTATACCTAAGTCAACGCTTCTTGCTCATTTAACAGAATCATCCTTGTTGCTATTGTTGTAAGATGTTATTTTTTATAAACATTGAAGTACATATGCACGTACGCATGTTCCAATTTGATGAAAACAGGTTTCCGCTAATGCTATACAAAAAAGCGAATTCAGTTGCGTCACTGCTCATGGGCGGTCACTCAATTTTGTTTATTCTTTTTCTTTTTCTCACTTGGCGCACTCAATCTTAGCAACAAAGTTTTGGCCATGCGATTTGTTTTGAAACGCAATGCAGTGAGTTTTTCAAGCACTCCAAGTTCAAAGTTACGAAGGTGCTCCAAGGTAATCACAACAACAACAGCGGCTGTAGAGAGCGCGCCCAAATGAGAGTAATAGGCAGCTTCAAGATCAGCGTTGATCGTGGCGGTGACTCAGTTGCCATTGAACTGATCAAATATTTGTCGTTTACTCCATTGTTAACAGTTTTTATTCTTGTTCGGTCAGTTTAACAACAATGTGTGTCAAAGGTGGTGGGATAGGCGCCTACTACGTTGGTGTTTAATTTGGTACTACACTCAATAAGATCACCAATAATTCACGAATGAAAGTAAATAAACCTGTTTTCACAGCGAAAATATTTATTGTATGCCGCAATATCCACAATAAATTCCAAGCATGTTCTATAGAAACGTAGTCTGCTTGCTGATTGGCTTAATTGTGGGAGTGCGGCTCACCGACTTCTGGGATTATGTCAAGTTGCAGCAGCCGCAACGCAGTGTGCGACAGAATTACACAAATTTTACACACACCAATACACTTGCAGCGGTGCAGGATGCCGATACACTTCCGGAATATTTGTTTAACACCACTCGTGTTTTGTGTTGGATCATGACTATGCCAGAGAATCATTTGCGACGTGCGGTGCATATACGCAACACTTGGGGCAGACGGTGCAATAAGTTGCTCTTCATGAGCACCAAAGAGGATAGCTTTTTGGAGACGGTGCGTTTGGATGTGCCTGAAGGTCGAGATTATTTGTGGCACAAGACGCGCGCTGCCTTCAATTATATCAGCGACCATCACTTAGACGACGCAGATTGGTTTCTCAAGGCCGACGATGATAGGTACGTTAGAGCGTTGATGATAAAGCAGACTCAAATATTTACGTTTATACTTTTAGTTACTTCATTATGGAAAATTTGCGTGCATTTCTCTATCAATTCTCTCCAGATGCGCCGGTATACTTTGGCTGCAAATTTCATCCGTTCGTCAAACAGGTAAATCATATTAAAAAAAAATTATTTATATAAAACCTTAGATACCCAATCTCATGGCGTGTGTGCTAGTAGACCACTGTTGGCTAGATAAAGCTGCGAACTGTGCGATCCTTTAGCAGCAATCGCCAAGGATGGAAACGACTAACAACGTATTAGATCGTCTAGAAATTCTGCGTATTCTATGTACATATCGTCGTCTAAAGTACCGCGTATCGTGGTTCTTCCGGAAGCTCTTGAGATCAAGCCTTATCCATTTATACCCAAATATCGATAGATATAAAAGGTAGAGATAATTGGGGATAATAGAGAGGACCGTGTGGAAATAAGACAGGATTTACTCCCTCCTGTAAAATTTTGGCAGCCTCACACGCGAGGTTTTGCATTCTCTTCGTACTCGCTTTTGTACGACGATTTGTAGTATATTGGACTTCACTGGAAAAGCGAACACTTTAATCAGTATTGATATCAAGCGAGTTTTATTAATTTGCACTCCGGTGCTGTGCGGCTTCTGCGCAGTTCGTTTGAGATCATAAACGACCGGCTGATTGACCACTTCGGGCTAAGTCTATCAGTTTTGTTGCCTGAGTTCAAATAGCAGGCCGACTCTCTGAGCAACTGGCTAGGTTAGGTGAGCAGAGCGTATATTATGCCGCAGCCCTTTGCTAATTACTTTTAGTTGGCAATGCTTATACCTTCATTCGGATGCCCCTTGCCAATCCGCTCGGAAAGTTCGGTAGAGCTCACTCAATAAATCGGGGTTTCCTAAAATAATCAACCACATATTAGCTCTGTCAGCATGTGGGCAGATGTTGTAGTAGTCGTTCAAGATAAGTTTCTCCAGACCTTAAGCGATCTAACAGAGTCCACGCTCGTCTCACTATAATTGACCCGCTAAAAACTGCGCTCTGAGCTAAACCCAGCTAAGACTTAGTTCTCTTTACTAGGCGGTACAAATGGTCGAGTAATTACGGTAGTTACTCAACACGAACAAACGCTAATAATTATGAAAGCGGATGTCTCCCAAACTAACTTTGCCGAATACAGTACTAGTTCAGATGGTATGAGTTTTTTGCAACTAATTTATCGAAAATATTATGTATAAAATGACTTCAAATAAAATGTTTGTCCTCAGACTTCTACAGTAGAATTTGATGAAGATTTTTAGTGGTAGATTTTAACACTGTAACTCCTACTCAAATGGGCTTTTTTGTTCCGCCCTCAATAGAGCTATACCGAAAGGTCATTAACAAAGGCAGAATTGTTGGCCTGTGTTATCGACAAAAAGCTGCTCTGCAATTTGTTGCATGCCCTTTGACTCTCTAAATGCGATCTTTACTCTAAAGATTAAATATTCCGGCTCATTGTTAGAGGGATCCTCAGATCATTCCGACTATACGAGTATGCCCTTTGCCAAACATTATAAACATTAAACCTCCAAACTTTTAGGGACAGGAGTTTTCTTCCCTGGATTGAGGACATACAATTATTCGACTTCTCGAGCACTTAAGTGCATATCAAACGGAAGTGTTGGCCATCCAGGAAGCAGTACGGAGACTCGCTCAACGACCTATAAAGAGGAAACAATCTTGATCTCCCCTGACAGCCAGGCAGCCCTGACTGCTGTAGGCCTCTGAATGAGATGATCTAAGATTAGAGACTTCAACTCTATAAGAACTCCAGCCTAACCTGAACTATCTCTGTCAGGCTAAGGCTCGATTCCTGTCTTGGAAAATATATTTCTCCTTCGCTTTATCATCTCTCCATTTGGTAAAATTCTTAGTGAAAATTCTTTTTGCTCGGCGCTAACGCCGCGTTATACGGTAGACAAACGGGCTCGATTATTTGCATAACCAGCCTTTATTTGCTTTGACTCATGCATTTTCCTCTTTAATATGCGCATAAGCAGCCGAACAAATGCACGAAATTTTTGGGAATAAACTCGGATCCGGGCAGTTTTCGTTGACAACACTGGTAAAAACGGCCAGCTGTTGTCTTTTGTACAAGTAAGCAAACAAAGCGCGCGAGTTCCGCGTCCGGGGTAGCCAAGTGGTAAGAGTTACGGGCTGCAAGCCTGTAGCTGCCAGGTTCGATCCTCGGCTGGAGCGATTGCGAAATTCTTTTTTGTTTTTATTTATTTTATATTTTTTTTTATTTTATTTGATCTATATATTTAATGTTACTTTATTTTGTTTTCATTTGCTTTATTTTATATCACTTTTTTTATTTTACTATCAGTTAATTTAAATTTTTAGAGTTGAATTTTAATAAAAAGTCAACAACAACTAACTGAAAGCAACGTAAAAAAAATATAGAACTTATAAAAAAAAGAATGAAAAAAAAATAATAGAAAAAAAAATGAAAATTTAATTGGCCGTGGGACTCGAACCCACGACCTTGCGGCTCGTTTATCCGCATAACTGCCGTCTGTGAGGTCAAAATTATTATGCGCATATGTATGCCAGATTATATGCATAAGCTTTGCCGTCTGTCACAGCTTTTATTGAGGGATGCTTCATACAAATTGTATGGGCATACGGCGATGTTTGGCGAGCCAATTTAAACGCGACAATGAGGTTGACCAATGAGGTGGCAAATTTTAGGGAAAAATGAAACGGGGACCTAAAGACTTCATTTATGTTTAGTCGGGTCAATGGCGTTCACCAAATCGATAACGTTTCAAATATCGATAAAACCACGAGAAGCATATTTAAAAGTCTACTTAAGCTCTTTGTAACAAATTGCTGAGGGGACTCATGTAATAGCACTAAGCACCTTGAGGCCAATTGAGCCACATTTCTGTCGAATGTGGACGAACTTTTCATATGATTCATATCCGGCATTTCATGGACTCGCATGAATGCTTAAATTTGACAGTGCCTACCAACGAGGAAATAAACATACATATGTATGTACATTAGAGTGATCCAAAAAAATAAAGTCGGAGATTTAATGCCGCACACCCTAGGATTGATCTATATCGAAAAAAATATACCCCAATTTTTT